TATATTAGCTAGTATTAAATAATATATATTTATTGATATATATATACTATATATAATTGATATATACACACATCACTAAAACCACCTACACTCACACTTCACTTCACAGCAGCACGCATGAATACCTAAGCGGGTATCAGGTTTTGCTCGTGATAAGACAAGCTGTAAAAATCTAGCGCTGCAGGAGCTTTCAGGTCGCGATAGTTTGAACCCTTGAAACACGAATAAAAATCACACATATTAGCACACCAGAACGCAGCGTTATAATTAATATACCATAAAATAATTTAGCTGGCATACAGATTACAATGTACGAAACAACCAAGGAAATAGATTCACACTTTTACAAGAATAGATCAAAACGGCAAATAGGACCCAAACCTTTACAACAACAACCACTCATATGAATGAACATATAATTAAACACCAAAATTGATACTCTAAAATAATTACCCTAATCTACACTGGAATCGCCTTGGAAAATTAATTATCCTCTAAATTTATGCTATTCTAATTTAACATTGCACATGAAACCAAAATTTCAATTTACAATCTCCTGCTTCAAAATATTACATGCAAAGAACAAAATGTGTTCAAAAATTCTCTCATTTACAATTTAACTGTGGCTGAAAATAACAGAATAATAAATGTCCTAAGTTGAATATTTTATGCAGGCAATAGTGCGTCGAAATGTCTCCTACTACGATACTGCACTTCGTTGCCACCCGTGTCCTCAATTTCTTAACACTTTCCTATACTAGTTTTTCCCTGCCGACGTGAACTTGGCCAACTTTTCGCGCCCTAACCGTTACCTCGTGGACTTCCCACTTTTGGCCTTGATGGTCGTGCGCTGGTCTCTGCGTCGACGTCGCTCAGACCCAGGTTCTGCGTCGTAAGAAACGGGATTCGCCTCTGCTGTCTTTTTGCGTCCTCTTCCGTTCTTCTTCCTAGTCGGCCTCTTCTTCCTCGTCTGCTACCGGCGCCTCTGACTACGCCCACGTTGCGAAAATGTCCCTTGCACTTCACGGAATACCCGTGCAAGTTCCTCACTCGTTGCTACTTCTACTTTGCTAAACCAGAACTTTCAATGCTTCTCTCACAACGGGTAACTTTTACTTCCCGTGTCGTTAAGTGAAGGAATACTTAACTGAATCTGCACTATCTCGCGGACGACTGACTAGAACGTCTGTTCGCCGCCGAATATTCCTACCTAGTAGTCGTTGCAGCGGCAAACAATATCTAAACTAATGTTAACGAAAGTGTTGGCGAGCGGTAATCAAAGTGCTGCTGGTTTGGCGATCGGGAACCCAAAAAGAAGAGCTGCTTACTCGACGAGTGGTGGCAAGAAAAGAGAGCTTCCGCTTGCGGGTTTGCGTATTTATCGTCCGACGCCTGGGGAAATTCTCAGTGGTGGGACTACTTCCCTTCTCTCAACCCTTCACAAGGAAAACTTTGCTGGCTAGTTTGCCTTCGTTTAGTACGGGCAACGGATACCAGGCCGCGCGTTTATGAACCTTTGCTCCCGCCTTGGCTGATCCGTCGCGCTCTTCCGTAGTGTTCACACATACGACAGTGTATTGAATATATATATATATATATATATATCCATTTTCACCGAGCGAAGAGAATTATCGGGCCCTGATTACGAAACGAGATAAATCCAGTTGCTAAATTTAGAAAAAAAACTTCATCACGTGGTGTAGTTAGAATCAATGTTTTGTGGGCCCTTAACACCAAAAGATAGAAAAACGGCAAAACGCCTGTTCGTCTCCGTCCGTCTGTGAACAACGCTAGCGACTAAACTGTTCAGCCGATTTTCTCCAACATCGATATTCCCCAATCAATCTGGCTGTTGTCACAGCCCCTTGAATTTGAGACCGATATTTCAATTTTTGGGGATACTTTACATGAAGACTGAGTCATATTCCAAATTTTCAAAAAAATGGCTCCATCATTTTTTATTAAATTCTGTTAGTGTGAAAGACGTTTAAGAGAAACAGTCACGTCTCATGTTCGTTATAGCCCTATTTTTTTGAAAATTGCAAAAGTTCAATTTTTTTCGGGGTCTTCCTACAACTAAAATATTAAAGACATAAGAATTTTCCCTTAATGAAATCTGTTCCTTAAAGAGTGGTTTTGAACTAAGGTCATGTACAATTGTTCGAAAATTCGAGTACTTTTCGCGCAATTTTGCATGAAAATAAGGGGGAGAAAGTACGTGCTGTTTGAGCACTCAGTTCTACGCTTGAGGCGGTGCCAGTGTGAAGTTGGCACCACCATAATTGGATGTGCTGTAGTTCGTATGTCGTCTTGGTACAAACGAATATTATGATGGAACAAACGGGTACCAACGAAGTACAAATGAATGATAATGGTTTTAATGGTTTTCGCTGTGGTAGTTGTGCCAACTTGATGGACATGTGAGACACCTGCACCGGGAGCCGAACTTTTTAACCATGCTCTGTGAAGTCACGGAAGTTAAATAGCTCGAGTCCCCATGGGTTCCAGGATGGGTGACGAGTGACGTCTTGGTACACGGAATAATAACGGCGCTGAGCCCGTCTGGTAGGGATAATAGGCAATGACTTTACGCAAGACTGACGTAATCTTGATTTGACGTAAGATTTACTTGTAAGATTGAGATGTTTAAGGATATACTCCTCCCGACTATCGACTAAAGGGTTTGGGAAGCTGTTACGCAAGTAAGAGCTTTTTAAGCATATTTAACTCAGGTGCTCCTACGGGCTGAACCTGACAAGCTGGCGCCAAATTGAATCATCAATAAAATACTTGTCCCTTTTCCGTGCTATTTTTCCTTACGCCGATCCATGACAGCATTACCTGGATAACCCGACAAATGTGAGAGTTTGGAGTAAACTAAGCATTGTCGCTTTCTTTTTATTTGTGCATCCATTAGCTATCAGAGAAGACCTTGTTACGAATTAATGTCTTGGTTTATTATTTTTGAGTATTTGAGCGAAGTCTGGCGGGTTTTAGCATGAACCAGTGCAATATCAGACACGCAAAGTAATGCGAAATATGCAGTTTCTCAGTCGGTATCAACTGGCTTCAATAAGTATTTATGACAGAGGTCTAAGGTGTATAGTCCGATTGCACTGTCAATTACTTCAGTTTGTGTTTTTGGTTATTGCAGAAATTGTGACTGAATTTTGTTTTCCTCCAAATCCTAAACAATTAAGTTAATGTATTCCTAGTCATTTTAATTTCCATGACAAAATTAAGTTATAAAAGTTGCTTGAGTTGATAACGTTCTTGCCGTATTATAATTGCTACTATGCGTATTGCGATTTCCGTTATTTCCATGATTATTGCATATTAAAGTCGATTTCGCATGAAGTTTAGTCCAAGTTAAATGCAATGTATCAAAGGTCACGCGCTGGAATGAGAGGGGGAGATTGTCATTCAATTGGGAGCTTCAATACAAAAAATTAAAGGCGTAGCGAAGCTCCCCATTGAATGATAGTGTCCATTTCTTACATCCAGCTCGTGACTCCACATGTAAAGCGGACTATAGTTGCAGCGACGTGAAATGTCCACTTGGCATGAACTTTGTCGCAAACGACAAACCGGGAGAATGACGAAACTCGTCAATATAAATACTGTCATTGGATGCACAGTAGAATACTCACCGGAATTGGGTTCTTTCAAATTCACGACTTGTAAAAACTTTATAATAATTGCCAATTGTTATAACGATTGATGTTTCCGGTCACGTCAATCGCTACGTACATTCGACCCGTCAGTATGTATAGTGAATTTTTATTCCGGATGGTGGCGGTGTTCTTCCCACGCTGGGTGGTGAAATCTGGCGCTTTCAGCTTGCGAGGATTCCCCCTCCAAATATATCTTCCAGCAGGGCACCTAAAGCACCGCCCCAGCCGAAAAGAGATTTATGCTCTCGATATTATGTGGTTGTGCAGTGTATGTAAGTGCACGTGTGCATAGTAAGAGAAGATAAGGACGAAGAAGACAAAGGAAATATTGGGCACGGTCCGTGGCCCAAGAGTTATTAATGTAATATAGATACTATATAAGTTATTAGTATATAAAAGGGTATTTGGCATTTGTCTGGCGTTGATCGGAGAAACCACGAACTACTGATCACACTAGCCGCCAAAATTCTTCCCCAGACAGCGGCTGAATCTGGCTTAGCTAAATAGAAAATCCGCCGACCGTTGGGACTCGAACCCCAGACCCTCCCAGACGCTGCAATGACAACATCAAAGCTTGTTCTGAGCTAACTCAGCGGGTAATAATTGATGTGTTATTGCTAATTCTGATGACTAACGGTACTTACACGAAATATGTGTTACATGGTTTCCTCCTATTCCTCTAACCATAGGCAATAAATTATTCACACAATCTTGTGTCAGTTGCCTTTTTAGGAAATCTGCTATTTTCACAAGATATAATATAAAAGTTGTGCCAGAAATTAAAAATTAATTGAACCTGAATCAAACAAAAGAAATCCAGCACCAATCAAGTTTGACCGTGTCCAAACACTGCGTATATGGTGTTTCTGTGGAGATCGGGCCCACTGTGCGGGCGTGTGCCCGCGTAACGACCACCCCAGGCTGCGTATTTTCACCTCCGGCAACGGGGAGCGGGTCGGGCGCATCAGCGGCGCGCAGGCGCAGGCAAAACAGGCAGCCAATCGGGAGCTGAGTGCCTCCTCCTCTCCCAAATTATGCTCATATTCTTCATATTTTTCAATGAGATAAAATAATGTTAAAATAACGAATAAAATAAAATTTAAAAAAAGTTTTCTTTTCGAGATGGGTGGGGGTGGTGGGAGGGGTGAGACTAAGAAAAAATCTTATTTTCATGATAGTAGTGGTTTAACCATACATGAATAGTGTTAATCAATGGTTTAACTACTAACATGTCATTTGGTTTTAGGGAACTTTTTAACATCTTCATCTTCGGTATCCATTATGATTTTCCTTATTGTGGGGTAATATTCAATGAAGATTACACAAAATGTTTTAAGTTTTATATTTTCAATAAAAACAATGTTTCTCTCAACTTCATAAATAGATATTTCACTGGTAACAAAACAATAGTATACTTTAAGTACTTTCAAACATCCCCTCCCCAGTACTATACATTTCTGTTACAGAATCTAAGTCAAAATTACACAATATAGCAATAGATGTTGCTTCTGGAAAAAAAATAATTTCATATCTGACAGGTGTAAAGATGATTATAGGCTACTTTGATTCTTTGGTTCAAACTACAGCAATGGCTTTAATATAAATCAATAGATCAATCTGACAGTATGTTTGTTCCATAATCTTTTCAGACACTAAACAAGTGCAGTTGTGTGTCTATTTGTTCTTCATACATTTATTCTAGAATTTCCAAGTAAAAGAAATATTATTTAAATGTCTCTTCAATTTCAGAAAAACTCTTTCCCAAAGTTTCAGGCAAAAGTAAAAATATGTAAATGAAGCCAAGAAGGCATGCAAATGACAAAAAGAAGAACATATTTGATATTCCTATCAAATACAAAATATCTGGGAAAAGTTTTACTGTTATAAACATTAGTAGGTATCCCCATGATACCATTATACCTCCACCAACACCACGCATTTGAACAGGAAGAAGCTCTACAGGTAATGTCCATGGAATTACAAGTACTCCTAATGCACTAAAACATACAAACAGTAATAGACACACTACAGGCAATAAGTGACCTTCATCAATATTGTCACTAAATAAATTTGATTCAGTTTTGCTAGAATAGAGGCATATACCAAGAACCAATGATGCAATTGACATGCCTATGTATGAAGTCATTAAAAGAGGCCTCCTACCTAATTTTTGAGATACACTTGATACAATACAACTCATGACAAACCTAATAGCACCCATTAATATTAATGCTTTCAGTGCATCAATACTAGCCCCCAGTTTTGTTGATTTCCCTCCAACTATTTTAAATAAATCAACTGCATAAAATATTAAAACATATGCCCCAGAAAATTGTTGCAAAATAAATAAGCCTATAAGCAGAAAGAAAGGTTTTATCACAGATTTCTGTCGAAGACACTTCAGACTCTCAGATAATGATAAAGACTTCATCTCTTTAACATCATTTAGTTTCTTTTTCATGCATTCTATTTCCTGCAGAGCAATCTGAAACATACATTTTTTGCAAAGGTTTAGTTATTAACGAAAGGAGAAATTTAATATTTTTTTCGTTTACATTTAATGTTTTTGTTTTTGAAATAATGTGGTAGTATTTATAGTACGTAAAGACTGGGTTATTAAAAATTGGTTTAAACAGTAAAATATGTCTAACCCGGAACCTGTACAAGCCAGAAATCTGCCTGCACGAACCTGCACAAGCCAGAGAATTTTTCTGTCCCGTGAAGTTAAATGGCGTTTTACACAGCATAAAACAGAACCTGTCCAAAGCGAAAACGGAAGGGTATTCAATGTCATGCAGCGAAAAAACCTTTAATAAATGGAATTTCTGTGAATTTATTGTAATTGGCAGAGAGCCGCAAGAATCTACTAACGGAATAAATGCATTTGAAAGTTTGTTTTAATTTCTCTGTCCCTGAGAAATGCGTCGTGGCAGCCGGACCGAGAAAGTGAGCTTTAGTAAAGGACTTTAGGCTAGAATTCGACCTTGGGGTCGCTTGTCACTCAAGTTGCATGCGGTAGGAGAATTCCCTCCCTCCCGGCTCTCCGCGCGCGGGAATTTGTTCGGGCATGACATATGTACACACATCTCTCGGTCCTGCGATGAGGATCATAATCCCTTCGGCCAGAGCCGCATTGATCAAGACCATGAGAAGGTATCAGAAAGACACAGTACACTGGGCTTATGATGCATTGTGTGTTGAAGAGACGGCGACTAGTCCAGCTGCAGCGACTAGAGTGAGCTGGTGTATTTTAATGGCCAGTTTAACAATGGGCGGAGAAAACATTACTTTGAATATTACAGTTTTTAACTTCTGAAAACGTTATAGAAAACGAATAAGTAAGTGGGAAACTAAAAAGCCAAAAACTCTAGATATATGTTGGAAAAATAATATTTTAATTCACAAGTTGTCAAGAATTTCTTTTCAATTGTCATAATATGTTTAATATTAATTTTTTGGTGATTTCTTTCATAAATACGTTATTTGCTAATGTATTTTTCTAATTGCAATAAGTCATTTAAGTAATGTAAATTAGTTATATCATAAGTCATTAAAAACCTTTCAGGATGGAAATATCAATGTAACAAGTGTCATAAAATAGACTACCCTGCATAAAACTGAAACCTCCCTAAACTGGAATATTTTTTGTCCCGATCAATTCCGCCTTAGACAGATTTTACTGTATTAAAAGAAAGTGGAATAAAGGACGGTTTTGTGAATACATGTGTAAGAATAAAAAAGTTTTCGAATTCATGTAAGCACATTTTTAAAGCATTAAAAGCGTAAAAAGTAGTGGACACTTCGGCCTGGCACTCATTGGGTCGGGTCGGAAACGGTATGGCACCGTCGGACGGACGGACGAAATTAACGGGATTTTGTAATAGCTATTTACATTGTTTCCATTGTAAGAGTGCGCACTAGACCGGTATGGTCAGGTCGGGACGATACGCACCTTCTGCCATTTCCAAAAAGTCGACAGGAAAGCTCTTCCGACGTGCTATTCCGTCCGTACAGATTCATACATTTTTAGGCAGGACCATCAGGTCAGGTCAGCCTTTCTACAGTTTCAGTTGTGAGGGTAGGTGGATCGTATGGAGTGAACATAGTTGATTCAGTTATGGATTAGGATTATCCCGAGTTGTACAACATGATTTTAAGTTTTGTTTAGTTTATTGCCCAATACTCATAAGTATAATGTAGTTAGTTATCTGAGTTGTTTCTATCAAGGTATGAATTCGCCGACTTTAAAATACTGTGATATTTATAAGAAGCTGTGCAATATTAGTGAAGATGGGTACATTTGAGCACGGTGAATATATTATACCATATTTTAGAATGATGAATTGATTTATTAATCCAGGCAAAGTATTTTTGTGTGTTTTTGTGTGGGCGTGGATGTTGGCCTAGCAGCGCTCTCCTCTGCGTGACAGGTGAGGTCAGGTCAGTGTTACGCCACACTCAGTCTGTGTAGTGCCATCACCTGTGGAATCGTGCTAGCAAGTGCCTTGACGCCAAAGGTCGCAATATCAGCATCTGTGTGAGTTCGAACGGGGCTGAATGTTCGGTAAATGACTAGTGGATAGAGGAGGGACGTACACCGCGACGAGCCGGTACTGGACCACAATGTGACCACAGCGCGAGATGACCACCATCTTGTTCACATGGTCGTAACAGACAGAATGGCGTAGTCCACAGCGTTGGCTCAACTTTGGAAAACTGCATCAGGTGTTATGTTTTCTTGGAAGGTTCGACTGCGTCTGCTGAGGGCTGGACTAGTGGTACTGCGTCGGATTCCGTTGAGCATAAACCACCAACGCCTCAGACAGCAATGCGCCCGAACGTGTTCACAGGTGTGATGAGTGGCAAAATGTTGTGTTTTCGGACGAGTTCCACTTCAATCTCTGTCACAGCGAATACTGCATACGTGTTCGACGCTTCCGTGGTGATGGCAGTCTGCCAGTTTGAATTGTTCCGGGCCATAGAGGACATGCCAAGTGTGATGGTTGGCTACAATGTGCGATCTCGCCTCGTACGCCTTGAGGGGAAATGTGAACAACAACCACTACTTCATGCAGGTTTTAGATCCAGAGGAACTGCTTCTCTTGCAAGCGGCTCCACATACCATAATTCAGTAGGACAATGGCCCACTGCAGATGGCGAGGAATGTGCTAGGTTTCTGGGAAGAATGACGGATACCACTGCTTCACTGGCCTGCACGTTCACCTGACATGTCGCCAATACAACATGTCTGGGATATGATCGACGGGAATTTGTCCGTTCTGGTCCTCTTGCAGCCACTGTCGATGCTTTGTATTCACGCAAAAGAAACCGCGTGAAGCGTTCCCCAGCACCATATCCAGGTTCTTTGAATCCATGTCACGATGTCTCGGGATTCTGATAGCAGCGCGTGGTGGCTTCACGCCGTACTAAAATACACTAGGAATGTTAACTTTTCTCTGTCCAGGCAGTAGTACAATCCGAGCAGACCATTTCTTTCCACAATAGTGATTTTTTCTGTCTCTCCCATTCACATAGCATTTCCAGTGCTTTGTGTGTCCAAACTGCATGCCGAGCAGATTTGCAATTCTCTTGAGATCTCCACATATATATTTAATTTGTACGGGTATTTCTCATAATTGATGTGTTGAAGCAGTTTAAAGTTTGCATGCATCTCCTTCAGGTTAAACTGTAACTATCGAAACAGAAGGAAAACTGTTCCCATTGTGGAGACGTACTGCTTTCAGAATTAATTTGCTAGAATCTATGAGCAAGCGCCATTAAGTTACATTAAAATTATGGCAAGGGACTTCATAACGTATTCGATATTATGAAAAGTTGACTAACTTTTCTTGGAGAAATATTTTGAAAAACTACATGGTGATCACGAAATGTCGTGCAGGGAGAAGGAATTCCATCTTTTTAGTCTCGAAGCTAAAAGCTCAGACTGTTGCTTCGACAAATTTAAATCACGAACAAGATCGTTGAGATCCCCATGGGGCAAAAAAATGTGGTTTACTTGAGTCACGGAAGGCATGAAATGTTGGGTTAACATGGATATCACATGTCTTCTGAATGTTCGTCGCTGTAGCATTCATCTTCACCCACTGTCACCTTTTCTCAGGAGGTTGCGGCGTTCACTGTGACTTATAGCAGATAGTAAATTAGGATATTGAAGTTTCCTTCGTTTTTGAGGTGCTTCCAGCTAATTTTGTCAGACAGAAATAACAGTATCGTGTGAACCGTTGGTTTTGCCTCCAAATCATGACAACAGCAAAGGGCATGTGTCGTGATTCTTTTAACCAGCAATGTAGCCAAACCTTTTGTATTTCCTAGAGGAGAATTTTCTGGATTCAGGGTCGCATATAGAAATTCCTTTTACATATTTTATTCATCCTGAACATCTACATATGCATAATAATTAAATGAAGCTATAGCATTATAACAAATAAGCAGCATTTTTTAGCACTTTCAGAGATAAGGAGTGGCGTGTCACAAGAAAACCGGCCGAGAGGCAAAAACTGATTTCATATTCGAATTTAGAGTCCAAGACTTAGCTAAGCACACCATTCACATTCTATTTAAAAAATGCAGTTGACCAGTGTAATCAAGTCAGCGAGACCACTGTCCTGTGTTGTAGTCCGAGCAGAGAATTATTCTTCAAAGTAGTAAAAAAGAAGGTTGTTTTGCAGTGGCGGCTCATGTTTAAATTGCTCGGTTGTACCCTCAGATAATCGAAAAAAACTAATAATATCTGAGGAATATAAATTTATCTTTTAATGGCATTCAATATTCAAGATATATCAGTAATACGCTGTGTAATGAATCATTTTGAAATCAATGAGCGTCCAACTTCCGCTCTCTCCGGCGCGGCGTCTGGATCGGAGGAGGTGCAGTGCCTCTGACCGGAAGGACCTGGTGTTCGAGTCCCGACGGTGGCAGGATTTTCGACAATAGCAAGATAGCTAGGACGAGGTCTGTCTGGAGGAGAATTCTAGCGCCCCGCTGCTCTTATCGCTAGTTTTCTGTGGTTTCTTCGATATATTCCGACTACCGGAGCACAACTCTACCAAAGGGGCCATGGGTCGCGCTCTGCCTTTCCTTCCCAATCCTTGTCATCCTCATCCCTTACACACGCTTACACTTGCATACACTACACTACCAAACATTCCGGAAGACAGGTAAAATCGGATCGGGAGCTAAGACCTTGTCCCGACTCGACTTTTGAGTCCCGCAGTTTCGACGCAGTGTTTCTTGTTTTAATTAGTATTGAGATATGGTTGAGTTTTGTGAAATTACTGTATGTGAAAATAATGGAAGGACTTATCAAAATTGTTATGTCTTATTGCTGTGAATTCTCACCGCGCAATTTCCACAGACCCAAAACGGAGAGAATACCGAAGTGTCCACCCTGTTTTTATAGCGACTGTAGGACAGTGAACGTTTACTCAATACCAGATATTCAAATCAGTTTATCATATCTATTACTCAGTTATTTACTAAAATTATTATTTTTTAAATATGGCCACGTTTTAAATAATACACATCATAAAAAGCAAGAATATTATAAAATGAATACTAACAAGTTCATTTCTATAGAGCCAACGAAGAGAAGATTCCGTCTTTTCCCAGTAAGTACAATTTTCATCTCCTTTGCTAACAAGTGTTAACCAATGGGGACTCTCTGGCAAGAACCAAAGTAGGAAAAACTGAAAAGCACAAAAGCTAACCGAACAAATAGCAGTTATTTTCCATGTTAACCATGATCCGGCTATGCATGTTAGAAGAATACCGAGGGAAAAGAATACACTATTCAAACAAAGCAATGCAGCTCTGACACGTGGATGAGATATTTCTGAGACATACACCATAGTGACAGTGGAAAGACCTGCAAAACAGAGAAAATTGTAATAGAATAAAGAAATAATAAAAATGTTTAAAAAGTAATTTGATGTAAATGTAAAATTTTAATTAATTTTAACGGTATGTAATCAAACAAATTAACTTAAAAACAAGAAAACTTTCCTAGACATTGACGTAATTCAGAAATGTGAAAACGGTTAAAATAAAATAAATTATCGCTTACCTACGGACAAACTAAATATAAAACTAATTTTAAAAGATAACACACCTGCAAAACATTTCTACTGAAATCATCATTTTCATCTCTAAATTTCTTTAACATATTTCAGCATCGAGTCATATTTAGTTCTTACCTTTACATATACTAACCATTTATGTTTTTTTCCAAAAGTGCCAAGCTGCACCAACAGAATAAGCAAAATTTGTAAATACAGTGTGATAGTAAATAAAAGGAAACTGTTTATCTCCCTACGAATTTGGAATGAAAAGCTACTCTGCACCTAGTTTCCATATCGTTTGGTTTCAGATTTAAATGTTTCCAAACATTAGGTTTTTGCAATTTTCGAAAATACGGAGAGTTTAATGAAACTTACACCATACTTTTAAGCGTCCCTTCTTCTATCCGGAATCTAGAGGTGCAGCCAAAGCACATTATTTCTCGCTTTGTTTCGAAAATGACACTACTACATAACCAGCAAAAGTGCAGTTAAGCAGCTAATTATTTTTCCGCACCGAGACTAAAACTCAGATTCTCAGAGTTAACGTGCCGGCACTAACACCACTACGCCAGAGAAGCGCCGCATAAATGCCCGATTTATGTAAAAAAAACTAAAAAAATAAAAATTATCTGTTAGAAACTCCCAAAGCCTCCACTCCGTAACAATCAATCAGGGTATATCAAATTTCAAGAATATCAGAAGAACGGTTTAGGCACTAGCGTTAAACGATAGACCGACAGACAAACGGACAGACAGACGAATATTTTGCCGTCAATTGATTGTTCGGTATAAAGAACCAATAAAACATAGATTCTGACTACATCACGAGTTAGAGTTTTTTTTCTAAATTTAGCAACATGATTGATCGAGTTTTTCATTACCAGAACCCAGAAATGAGGTTTATTCTGGTGATATTTCGGCGTTTTCTGGCGTACGATTACATAGCTTTCTCTTATGAAAAATTCGTAAGGCTAGAAAGTAATAATTTCTGAACCGTTACGGCTATCTAAGTTGGTCACAATGCTAGTGTCCATGATGTATTTAAATTTCATGCCGATAGATTCATTAGTTTACTTAAATCGGTTCATACAATTGCATAGAAACTCGATAATTAATTTGACATACGTTTTACAAATCGCAAAAGAAAGTTGAAAAATGTTAAAAAGTTACAAATTGCAAAAGCACGTACAGAGACGTCCGGTTTATTTGTATATGTAATGATTGCATTTCAGAGTAGAAATGCTTCAAATTATTTTCAATAAAGTTTTTTGAATCCCTAATACGTTTCTACAACAACACTTTCATCAAATTTATATCCTCGTGTGGGACTCGAACCGGCGCCCTCTTATGATGAAACCGAACATGCCACTTAACCTCGGCCATCCAGGACAAGACCTACACACTTCCGTATTACTCAAGATTTTACTGTTTCAGTTCTAGCATTACGGAGCTGAGAAAATGCAAAAAACAACAATGGGGTTGAAAGTTGAAAATTCGAAAATCACATACACACTTCAAATTTATTTATCTTAATTTATTGTATTTGTTAGTAGAAGAGCTTCAAATAATTTTCAATTACGTTTCTGGAATTTTCGATATTTTTTTCGGCAACACAGCATTGTGGTAAATAACTATCCCTGAGCGAGGCTCGAATTAACCGACCTTGCCTCCAAAGCACTAAGACACATCATTTAAACAAATTCAGCCACCGGGGTCGTACAGGGGTAGACACTCCTAGAATAGTCATAAGAGCTTTGTGTTTCAGTTGCAGTATTTATAAAAAAATAATAAAATAATAAATAAAATAAAAATAATAAAGGTAATATAATCAAGTAAAAGTAAAAATAAAAAAAAGGCAACATAACGAGCGGAGTGACACAGGGAAGTGTCCTATATCCTTTGTTATTTATAGCATATATTAATGATTTTTGACAGGGAATTGAATAAAAAAGTACGACTTTTTGCAAATGACTGTATAATGTATCGGGGAATTAAAGACACGCGTGATAGAAAAATATTGCAGGCTGATTTAGATAGGCTAGAATCATGGGCTACCACAAATGAAATTAAATTAAACCCCAGTAAGTGCAAGTTTATCAGATTCGCGCGTTCTAGAAAGACAGATGACATCACATATAAATTAGGAAATCAGTATATTCCGAGGGCTTAATGCTGTAAATATTTGGGAATTGTACTTAATGAGGATCTGGGGTGAGCAGAACACGTAAATTATGTAGTGAACAGGCGTGGAAGACATAACACTTTGTGATTAGAGTGCTTAGGAAAGGAAGTAGAAAATCAAGGGAATTAGGGTACACATCTCTAGTACGGCCGATATTGGAATATGGCTTCATATGTTGGGACCCTTATCGTTTAGGGCAAATAAAATCTCTCGAAAAATTACAAAAATGTGTCGCAAAATTTGTTAGATGACGTTCTAATTCTGAATTTATATCTTGTGAACCTTTGGAAAAACGCAGAGAGAAATCGCGTCTTTCTGCGTTATTCAAATCAATACGAGGTGATCGCCCGTGGGGGAAAGTACGGGCAAGAAAATCAAAACCCACATACGTCGCGCGGAGGGATCATGGTTCTAAATTCGGCAAAGAAAACAGAAAACAGATGTAGGTAAATTCTCATTTGTAAACATGACAATACAAAATTAGAACGAATTACCTGCATCAGTACTGGAGACTTTCCCTCAGAATGTCAAAAATTTTAAAATTAGATGAAATAAGTTATAATTGTTTATTAGAATTTGTTAACATTATTTTTTAATTATTACTGTTATTTTATGCCAGCTTTAGCGTGGTAAGTTTAATATACTAATCTTGTAAAATTGAATTATGTAATAAGTAAATATTGTAATGTTCCTTTGATTGTGTTATGTATTTGTAGTAACTGCTTAGTTTAGTAACTACTTAAAATGTCGCCGCTCACTCGCAGAGATTTTAATTTGTTACTAAATCTCTCTTGAATACGTAGTTGCAGAAAACTATGAAAAAAATCGAGAAACTTTATTGAAAATCGTTTTTGAAGCACTTCTACTCACAAATACAATCAATACAGATAAATAAACCGGAAGTGTCTGTATCTGATTTTTAAATTCGCAACTGTTAAACATTTTTTTCATTTATTCTATTTCTAAAACGTATGTTAGATGCCAAATCAATGGTTGCCTTTCTGTGCAACTGTATGGACCGATTTATGTAAACTAATAAATCTATAACACGAACTTTAAGTACATTATAAACACTACCCATGGGGACCAACAGTTTTCTTTTATCATGATATCCCTAACGGTGGCGAATATTATTACTGGTATGGGTGGTAAAGGTGTCGGCAAGTTAATTCAGAGTTCGGGTCTCAGAGCGGAAATAATTTGTTTCTGGTTCAAACAGTTTTGCAAGTTTATGTAATAGTATAATATAGCGGAGCTGTTAGAAATTATGTGAGAATTGTGCTTTTGTAGCACCACTAGTTGTATTTGGTGGGGGCCCCTGGGCTACCTTGTTCACCCTTAAATCCGGTACTGCTAAGAAGAATATTGTAATCGTGCGCCGGAAAACAGCGAATTTCAGTTAAAATCTCCTTTTGTCGGACCCTTGTAACAAAATACCATTTGGGTCGTATAATTCTAAAGAACCTGTAACAAGTATTATACTTCAGCTATTGGGTCAATGACCCCCATCTCGATCAGATTTTCGCCCAGTTTTCCTGATCCTCGAGCAAATGCTGAGATGGCCCCTTGTTTTGCTTCTGGACATAAATATAAACTTCAAATTAACTTCCTCCCATACAACTCACACACATTGTTAACGTTGACCGTAAATAAATAAATACAAATAAACAACCATAACAAACCAATTCAATAAAAAAATAATACTTATTGACTTAATAGTTTAATAATAATATATAATTAGATATATATATAAAGTGCATCAATCCTTTCCCTGTATATAGTACTTTATTTCCTCTTACATTTGATGTAACAAGAAGTCACGTTTTGTAGGTTTTTGATACCGAAAAATCGTTGAGGAAAAACGTCGGTCCGGTCGGTCCGGTCGGTCCGGTCGGTCCGGTCAGTCGTCAATGCTACCGCCTAAACAGTTCAGCCGATTTTCTCCAACATTTATATTCTACAATTCATTTCAACGAACTTTTGTGAGTTCCAAACGGCACCAAGTGCAGTTTTTGGGCGGCGTCTTCCTACAACTACAATACTAAAATAAATATTTTTTACTTAATGAAATATTTTGTTGAAAGACATTTGGAAATAATTTTTTGCTCTATTTTTCGTAAATACAAGTAGTTTTTGTGCAATTTTGCGCGAAATATAAGTCAGTATTTTTGAAAGTGGGAAGAGGTTATCATTTCATAACTACAAAATTGAAAAGATTTCAGTCTTAGACAAAGTCTGTAGTAAAAACATAGCTCTTAAGTAAATCTCATGTTCAATTTTTTGAAAATAAAAAAAACCTTCTGCTTGAAATTTACGCTATTCTCCAAATTTTTTCGTTGACTTTTCTCCTCGCAAGAATCAAGGTACGGTAAAAATACGGTGCTGGTCCCATTCTCAAAAATTGCTAAAAGTTGAACATTTCAAAACTAAAGATAGTGATTTTTGCTTTAGACAAAGTCTAGTGTAAAAAAAATCAGCTCTTCAATAAAGACCATGTACAATAAAAAATAGAGTATATTTTGCGAAATTTGTGCTTGAAATTTATGCAATTTCTAAAAAAATTCAAAAACCACTCCAAATGTTTTGTTTAAATTTTAACGTTCTATGTATATGTTAAAAATAATAACCTATATCCGCACTGTAATATTATAATGCTGTAATATTACAATTTTACACCAAACAACACAACACACAATAAAACACACCACCGATAACATTAGTAATTCATTTTAAAAGTTCGAGGTGGCGAGCAGGCGAGCAGGTTCATAATTTACGATATATCTCAACAATGACAACACAAAGATAAAACAAGACAAGAAAATACAAGCAGCAATTATCTAAGAAAAACATTTTAAATGTAATAAAACAGATGAGTGAAGATTACTCACCAGTAGATATTCCGCATAACAGTCTTGAAAAGCATAACATTGTGACACTCTTTGATATTGATATGAATGCCCATGATGCAATCATTGTAAATGAGCAAATCTGGCATCCTCTTTTTCTGCCCAACTTATCCATTACTGGTCCTGTCAAGAGCGCACCGACAGGAGTGGCGATTGCCACTAAACTTGCTGTAAACAATCAAATCATTTATGTAGATTTGTCATCAGAAACATTTTTCAACAGACTAAAAAAATGGTCCTAGTACGACTGAATTTGAGAAACCTCATTTTGTTGAGATAGCTAGGTATAGCTAGCTCCTAGTCAGTGACGCTTGCTGCATGTAAGCTAGGGAAGCAGTGCTTCTCTGAAAAGAAGTCGACTCATTATTAAGTGCAGTATGCATGTGTTTTTCTCCAGGGAGCGAAGTTTCCAGTGGTGGAGCATGAATACAAGTCGACAGCATGCAGAAATGAAATTTGGTGTGCTCAGCGGCGACCCGTGAGTCTATTCAAAGGTGACAAAACATTGACAAAATACCCATTTTTTCTAACAAAAATCTTGTATTTGTGAACAAGATTGAAAGAAAGAACGATTACTGTTAAACTGACCATAAGTGAAATTAGGAAATGAACTAGTTCTTGCTTGTATTCCACATGCCAACATAATCGTATTATATATTACGGTATACATTGAAATTAAGGGGGGGGCAAATAAAATATTTATGAAATATTGGTTGTGGTGCAAGCAATTATACCCTGCTGTTTCAAATTTTCGAAGTTAATGTCTGTACATTTCGGAACTTTTCTAACATCCAAAATTGACAAAGATATTATCTTTTACAAGGTCTTTTTCTATCATTTTTACGTGGATTGAAAATGGTAGCAGCATAACAGACGGGGTCGTTCTACGATGAAGAGATTTTACACAATACAAAGCATGCTGTACGGTTCAGACTGGAGCTTTATACACACTTAAAGCGAATGAGAACTATAGGAACCATCAGCTGACACGGAACTGTGCCGATCTGACATGAACAGCCCAATATTATAACTTGAGAAGGACCCACAGCATGAGGGGTCGAGGCAGTCACGTCACCCGAATATCCCAGAGCAGCTCCTCTCACCACAGTAATTGCGCTGACGATGAGAAAACACAATCTCTTGCAACGCGTCTCTGCTGCACCATCCAGCCCACCAACAGCATGCAATGGATGCGAGAGCTTTTCTTCAGAAAAATCGAGCCGTTTAGTGGAGGATCGAGCTTGGATTGCACAACCTCCAAATAATCGAAAAATATTTTATAATACATTAGGAATATGTATTAACGTTTTAATGACATTCAATATTCAAGATATGGCAGCAATATCGATGTATGTAAATTCATTTTGAAACCAAAGAGCGTCCAACTGCGCTCTCTCCAGCGTCTGGTGCCCTCCAAGTATACCGATTCATATAGCTGTGAAAGCTTCTCCCAGGTAGACAATGTCAAATAAATGGTGTAAGGGATTGCGACCCGGTTACCGCCGTTCTCCTGGGCCCTTAGACGCCAGGCTGGGATGCCATGGCAGGTTCTAACTTCACGAGGCTGTAGCGCAAGCATAGGCGAGCACGGACTAAAACTGGAGGGGAAGGCAACTATCATTCTCTCCCTCGTATATATTAAGCTTTTTTATTTATACACGACATTTTAATGTACAACTACTTTCAGCCTCGTCATGACCGCTTATTTTTGGGGTACTTTCGTTTATGTGTCAAACATTTTAGCTGAGCGATTTTGGATAATTTGAAATATTTTTAGGGCGTTTCTTTTGGGGAATTCAGTCTAAATTGGCCACTTTGCCTCTGCAGATTAGAAAGATTTTTGCTCCGAATTCGCCAATCACACTAAAGGTACACACAGTACAATTTTCGAGATTTTTCATTTTGGGACTGTTTAAGTATTTTTCACACACTTCATAATACTTTTTTATGTTATGCATTTAAAAAGATTTAAAAATATTTAAAAAGATCATAAAATGAAATGTCAATATGCACTCAATGTAACAAGTCTTGTTATTTTTGGGAAATAAAATTAATCGTTGACTCGATACTCGCAAATTACAATTGTCCTTACTAAATTTCAAGTCTCAGCAAAAGTAAAATTAAAAAATTGGAAATATATAGCACATTCTAAAAGCGAAATTATGTGGCAATTTTTGCTATTATGAACAAACATTAGACATAATACCAATTACTGAAAGGTAGTGAATCACCAAGTTAATGACTATAGCACAACATATAGACTTTTATAACCAAGTAAAACGCCTATTTCTTTTCGAATTTAATACCGCTAGACAATAACTAAATAGCTACACAACCATAGACACGGAAACAATATCCGGATAGACTAATGTGTCCATCCGTTTGTCATGATTGTAACTCTTAAAATTTATTTACATTCATTTAATCTGAGACGACGTGTTTCGAAAATAAAGAGCGTTATTATGTAAGGCTACTTTCAAAATTTTCGGTGTGATCAGAGCCTGCTCCTGCGCGCTTGAATACATCCGTGAACCCATGGATTTCTTAAAATAGCTGGGGGTATTCTTTCTAAATGTCCGAAAATGCTTCTGCATCGTTCACGTTATGTTCCATTTTTTAAAACCAAAGTTCGGAACAGCGATTAACACGCAACGGCAACTTACTCCAACTGATTCACAACCTACTGAGGCGGAGACTTTCAGAATTTCCACATAATATCTAAGAGCCCTCATTAATTTCAATATAAGAACTCCCAGAAGATAGAATTTGCTCAATTCGGTTATATGAGAGCAATTACTCTGCTGATAGAATATCTCTTTTTTCATAAGAATTTGAGTTATTACTCACATTAAAAGATTGGTCGAAAGTTTGCTTATAAGTATTAAGGCGGCTCCACACATGCGGCATTCGGCGAATCCCGAGCAACCGCTCGCCGAATCCCGAGTAGCGTGGACGAGTTGCTTGCAATTCGCCGAACGCCGAACGTTCGGTATTCGCCCTAGCCACCGCGAGTCGGTCTTCAGAACAGACACATCAAACGGAGCGAACATTCGCTGAACACATCAGCTGTTCGGGATTGGACGAGTTGCTCGGCGAATGCCGAATGTGGGGAGTCGCCTTCAGAGAAATGTCTCTGTTTTATTTATACCACTAATTCTAGAGTACACTCTATACAAATTTTGCACACAAGTGGCATGCACACGATGCGTCTTTTCTGTGCGTCACGGGAATAAAATTGCCCGCGCAAAGTAGAAAGACGAACGCTCAACACAGCGCGCGTGCGCTACCCTATCTACACAGTGCAACATTGTGCGGTACTTCACTTCTATAAAATGGATCTTGCTAGTTTCGCGGCAATTTCGGCAGTTTACTTAATGATCAGTCGAAAGAAGAGAAAAATAAAGACGCGCATGTGGACCAATGTTTTAAGCAAGGAATATTCTTCTCCTGTCACTGCCACATACCGAACTAGAAATGGAGATAAACACGTATCTTTTTACTAGTTTCCAATATAGCTAATAAATATACATTGAAAATTGATATTACTTCAGATATATAATAAAAGAATTATCTTCAAGAAATTCGCAATAAAAAACAGATGGACATCCCACAATAACTAGGAAGACTACTCAAAGAATTCGTACGGCTCGGCATTTGAGATGACTTCCCTATGAAGTACTCAGTCTTCGAAGAAAGTGCACAAGAAAGACGAACAAGGTTCCCGTGATCTCTGGGAAAGATTGCGCTATTACATGCGTCCATCGTTTTGGCGAAGAACGCCCGGCTGAAACGTATGCGCTTCGTGCGCTAGACGCGTGAGCCAGTGGACGGAAAGACGCATCGTATGGACTAAGACTAATCTGAACTGCACCACTCAAGTTTTACATCAAAGAAAGAATTCGATAATTTAACACAGTTTCAGTTTCGAAAAATAATATTCTTGTATTTTAAGAGATTATCAAATAAAGGAAGTAGCGGAGTTCAGACAATAATACTGGTACTAAAAATATGGAAATACAATGTGAAATAACTGACCAATCCATGAAGCATCTTCTTTTGTGATTGGCAATGCGCTGTCTGCTGACATTAGCTGAGGCAGAAGAATAGCTGAGAAAACTAAGTTAATTCCACAGTTTATCACCAAAGAATGGGCAATACTGCATGCTAATATCTAGAGACAATAAAAAATGTTAGACATTATTATCCGTAACGTTAACATAATGTAGGCTACAATCTATATTCAATATTTTCGCATAATATACATATTTCTTTCCATGTCTGGCACAATATTGCAGTTCGTTGCGGTACAATTGTAATCAATAATAAAGGGAACCCAGACGGAGGGAAGGGGAGAGACATGACAACTTTCCCCAAGCTCCGAATCAATTGGGGCTCTGATTTTTTTCATTCAAAACATGAAAATGAACCAATTTACTTCTAATTTTAATTAATGGAAATAACGCCTGTTGCACACAGTCAGGCATTGTATCAAACGAGTGTATCATGATTTATAATAAATTGTCATAAATAAACTGTTTGAAATAAAATTATGTTATATATAAAAAACTTATTTTGTTCAACTGTGTTTTTTAAGAAAAAATATCATTTAAGTACAGTTAAAGAATAAATAAATTAAAAATATAATTTTTTATAAAATGGTGTATACGTGTGTTTTTATATACGAAGAGAGAAAGAAACAGATAGAGAAATAGATTGCCAGAGTGAGAGTTAGCCAGAGTGACAAACAGCGAGAGTGACATATAGCGAGGTGACATAGCGAGGTGACAGCGAGAGTGACATGGCGAGAGTGACATATAGCGAGGTGACATAGCGAGAGTGACATATAGCGAGAATGAGACAGCTGCGTGGATGTATAAATACTATATAGATATACAAATATATCGATATACAAGTACATAGATATATTAATGTATAGATATATAGGTGTTCACAAGCTCCCGTTTCAAAAAAGTACCCTAGATTCCATGTTGACATTCATGAAGAATTGCAGATACAATTTTTTCGGAAAACATTTTGTCTTCAAGAAAAATGAGTATAAATGTTATTTCCGGGCGCGAAATTCAAACCGGCTTCCGCGTCAGGGCAGACACTGACGTGTCGTCCGGCGTGTCGTCTGCGTTGGCGTAACATCGTTTCTTTCCTTTTTGGGTGAAACTGTCAAGTGAGGCAAATATCTCTTGCCATACTATTCTACTAAACCTACCAAAATTCATTTTTTGCTGTATGTTATAACCACGATATGCAGGAACGTAACAATGAACGCTGAACACAAAACTTTACGTAAATTAACAAAACTCATGGAATGCTGGAATTATTTTTTGCATATCTTCAGTGTGAACTAATGTCTTGTGATTTAAAGATGCGATAAATAATAGTTCCCTGTTGTTTATTTCCTTAATATCACGACATCGTGTCTAACAGTTTTGCAGCTAAAATGTTCGTTCATTAAAATATTGAGTTCATTAATTATTTCTGGGCGTGCTCTTTGAAGTTATGCTTTCGCGTGTCATTTTTGTAGCTGCAGACCGACAATTGCATAGGTGAATATTTTCAGTACACATTTAGGTGCACAGTCAACCAATCCTACGCGGTGTCCATGATTAACAACGATAAAATGGCACATGTCCCATATGACGATAAACAACATAGATTCCTAATATGGTGTTGGTGCAAAACATAAAAAAATAGGGACAAACTTATGTTTCATACGAATACGTATGTTGCTTGGTCGCGTCGAGGCTTGTATCGTGGGGTAAACAAACCGCCGCACACTGATCAATTGAAAAAGAGAAAGACCCTCATTTAATGCACGCAGCTGCTACCTACAACACAAGAGAAACAGCCACGGATAAATGTTCCCAACCTGCCGCCAAATTCGTCCAGAAATGATTTCACGAATTCTCTGAAGACTTCGGGAGCGCAGCATGCGTTCACCTCGCATACGGAACAGGAAAACGAAGGCCAGAATACACATTCGCCTGCGATAACTCTACGCGGGGTTCTGGAGTCCACTGTCGCGACGTGCATGTTCCACAGAGTTTGTTTAACGTGTTTTGCAAAAACAGCCCCCATGAAAATAAATTCCTATCGGAAGAAGTTTACCTTATTACTCATAGGATTATCCCTAAGCAATAATAACGTAATTTGCTAGATTATTTTAAAGATCATTAAATATTGAGATTTTAACAGAGACAAACAAGGAGGGAGAGGGGTGTAAAAAATTGGAAAATTATATTCATATATTCAGTGGAGTTAATAGGGAAGAACGAGTAAATGTCGGTGTATCAATTTCGATAGATAAGAAATGGTCAAACAGCATTCAAAGATGGAATCAGAAAAATGAAAGATTGATTATTGTGCAATTATAATTGACAGGATACGATATTGCAATAATTGGCGCATATGCACAGATGATAAAAAGGACACAGAAAAATTAGAATTTTATCAACAATTGACTGCTGTATTAGAAGAGATTGGATATAGAACGAAATATATTAGAAATTAAGAAAGAAAGAACTAATATTAGGAGATCTGAACAGTTGAACTGGAATAAATGAAAATAGCAATATAATTGGAAGAAACGGAGAACCAATATCAAACGATAATGGGAATAGAGAGATATAATTATGTCAATAAAATTTCTAAATGAGCTTTTACACATAAAATACATACACAAGTTTACTTGGACGCAAACTACAAGATAGTTACAAGTCAATACCATTTGCAAAATGTCCACTAAATTAAACTTTGAAGACGTCAGAGTACATCGAGCAGCAGAATGTGGCTCAGACCACCACTTGCTGAAAGTAGTATTCGTACTGTATTTTCCATTCAGGAGAATCCGGAATGGAATTGGAATCCTGAATGGACCTAGAATCTAGGGTACTTTTGTGTATTTGGAGCTTCTGGACACCCTGAACAGATATTTAGATATGAGTATATAGAGATGGAGTGAAAGAGAGAGAGAAAGAGAGAGAGAAAGAGAGAGAGAAAGAGAGAGAGAAAGAGAGAGAGAAAGACGGAGAGAAAGACGGAGAGAAAGACGGAGAGAAAGACGGAGAGAAAGAAGGAGGGGAAGAGGGAGGGAAAGAGGGAGAGAAAGAGAGATGGTAAAAGACAAAGAGGGAGGGAGAGAGAGAAGAGAGAGAAGAAGAGACGAGAGAAGGAGAGAGAAGACAGAAAGAGAATAATTTTTGTTTCCAATCATGAGCCCCATTGGTTAACTGCCCCAGACCTTAGTTTTCTCAGGGAACCCCTGCCTATACTACGAAACGAATTCAATACCTTGATGTAACTGAATTACATATTTACTTACTTGAGGAAGACAGAATTTCCAATGAACTGGGTACGGAGTTACATCTTCCCCATTCCATTTATCTTCTTTTTCCTTGTTATCATCTTCCATGCTACAATGAAAAAACAAAAAGAAATATTAAAAACATTCTAGATTAATATCCAATTGTTTATTATTAGTACTAGTATTATTTTTACTATTAATATTATTAAATATTTAGAGCAGCTTTTTACAAAATAACATTACTATCTGCATGCATTTCTAATAAAATTTGGCGCAGAAAATACGGACCGCCGGCAAGACGGACCGCCGGCAAGACGGACCGCCGGCAAGACGGACCGCCGGCAAGACGGAGAGAGGAGAGAGGAGACTTTGGGGGACTTAATGGGAAAGGACTTTGGGAAAGGGGGGACTTTGGGAAAGGGGACTTTGGCGAAAGGGGGACTTTGGAAAGTGGGGACTTTGGAAAGGGGGACTTTGGAAAGGGGGGACTGTTGGAAAGGGGACTTTGAAAGGGTGACTTGGAAAGGGGGACTTTGTGAAAGGGGACGTTTGAAAGGGGAATTTGGAAAAGGGGGACTTTGGAAAAGGGGGACTTTTGGAAAGGGGACTTTGGGAAAGGGGGACTTTTGGAATTGGGGTACTTTGGAATGCGGGACTTTGGAAAGGGGACTTTGGAAAAGGGGACTTTTGGAAAGGGGGGACCTTTGGAAAGGGGGACTTATGGAAAGGGGACTGGGAAAGTATATGGGGGAAGAGACCTGTAGGAAGTGGGGGCCTCTGGGAAGAGGAGCTTTTGAAAATTTCTTTATGAGTTAACCAATGCTCAGAAACAAATATATATATGACTTTCATGCAAGGCTCCAAAAAACTCAGTTTTATTTGATTTGATTGAACATTATGGTGAAATATTTTGAAAGCTACGTACCAAGGATATTTGTTTTTTGTTTCACCTACTTGTAGTTAAATTTTTAATTTACTACTCGTTTTAGATCCGAGTGAGCGGCGGGTGTGGAAATCGAGCCCATCATGTAGGTAACGATGGGAGGAATCTGGTGTAGAATAGAGAAGAAAGATCAGGTGTTCGAAAAAACGAAGGATGTTAGACATTAAAAAGAAAGTATTTGGACTGGATTTTGACTGAAGACTGCATTAGCTATTTTATGTGAAATGTCCGCTCGCGATGAAAGTACAATGGTGAAAACTTGCCCGACATGCATCAGCGTTTGAGACAATGTCGGGCAAAGTGTTTGCCTTTTTTATAACATTATCTTTATTAGTGAACGAATATACATAGTCAGTAATTATTTATACTACAATCATATGCTATTTTTTATGACCTTATATTTAACTTAAATGCCTAATCTTATATCTAAAATCTAACTACACATGAATAGGAAACTCACAGAGCACCTATCGTGATTAATTGACTCTGAAAAATTATTGCTGAGAAATGAATCTAATGGATATCTATTTTTTATTCTTGTTGGGAGCGGGTAGGTGGTGGTAGGCCGTAGTGGGTGGCTTGGGTTATTGTGTTTATTTTGGAGAAGAAATTGTTTAGATAGGAGAGCGATATGGTAAAAGTATAGGAGGTAAAATTAAATTCTTTATACCAATGGAATTGTTTGAGATGAACCAGGGTGCATGAGTGCAAATCTGAGGGAAATTATTTTGGATGATCTGTAATTATTAATATAGGTGGTTTTTTGATGGCATTGATCCAGATAAAGGGCATGCATAAAGCATTAGGGGGTCTAATTATTGATTTATAGATGGGTGATGGCATTGTTTTAACGCAGAGCTTTACTATTGCGATTTAAGAGTTGCTTTAGTTGAATTATTTTATTTTGGCTTGCTGTGCTTTCTACTGTTTTATGTGCATTTTTCCAATTTTAGTCTGGTATCAAGATTCAGGGCCCTAGGTTACTCTTAACAGCATTCATTGTGTGAGATCCATGGAAATTGGGCTTATTGTTTATTCGGCAGTGGTTGTTGGGGTTGAAAATTTGGCTGACAAGCAAACAATTGTCAAACGTGTGATATTTGATTATGTGTTGATTAGGCTTCTAATTGATTATTGAATAGTAATTATTTAACAATAGTAATTAATATTGATAACATATTATTGAGCTGATAAGGTAATAACGCAAATATTTATCAATTAATACTATGTAAAATTGGAATGCAATTTGCGAATATTTGAGCCACTTCATACCTTGTCTTATTTTTACCTCCAATTGTAGTTGATTTAAGTACGCCGATTAATTATTAAATAATGTGCGGTATTAATTTACTCTTTTGTTATTACCTTTTACTCGTTATGTGTTCTTGTGGGTTTTTGTTACATAGCTTCTAATAGCTTCAGGCACAGTTAGTGCAGAGAACTGGTTTATTGTTTCGCTGCTTTATAGTTTTTGTCTTTAATTTGATTGTATATGGCAATTATTTCTTGTGACATTTTCGTCCCAACTTTCCTTACCAAAAATTACTCGTTGTACTCTTCCCATCTATCCTTCCATCTTCTCTACTCCATCTGTCACTTTCTGTCCGTCTGTTCTTTCCCGTCCGTCCGTTCCGTCTGTCTGTCTGTCCGTCCGTCCGTCCGTTCCGTCCGTCTGTCCTTCCGCCCGTCCTGTCCTTCCGTCCGTCTTCTGTCTGTCCTTCCGTCCGTCTGTCTGTCTGTCCTTCCGTCCGTCCTGTCTGTCTGTCCATCTTCCGATCCGTCTGTCTGTTCTGTACCTTTCCGTCCGTCTGTCTGTCTGTCCTTCCGTCCGTCTGTCTGTCTGCCTTCTCGTACCCGTTCTGTCTGTCTGTCCTTCGTCCAAGTCTGTCTGTCAATGTACCTTCCGTCCGTCTGTTCTTTTCTGTCCATTCGCGTCCGTCTGTCTGTCTTGTCCTTACCGGTCCGCCCGTTCTTGTCTGTCTGTCCTTCCGTCCGTTCCGTCTGCGTCTGTCGTCTGTCCTTCCGTCCGTCCGTTCTGTCTGTCTGGTCTGTTTCCTTCCGCTCCGATCTGTCTAGTCTGTCTGTTCCTTTCCGTCCGTCCGTCCGTCCGGTCTGTCCTTCCGTCCGTCCGGTCTGTCTGTTCTGTCCTTCCGATCTGTCTGTCTGTTCTCTTCCGTTCTGCTTTCTTCGATGTCCTGTCCTTCCGTACTGTCTCGTGCGGTGGTCTCCTTGCCGTCTGGTCTAGTTCTGTCCTTCCGTCCTGTCTGTCTTCCTCCGCTCTGTCTGTCTGTCCTTCCGTCTGTCTGTCTTGTCCTTCCGTCTGTCTGCTCTGTCCTCCGTCTGTCCTGTCGTGCCTTCCGTTCTGTGCGTGGCGTGGCGTGCGCGTCCTGTCATGTCTGTCCCCCCCCATTCCGTCTGTCTGTCTGTCCTTCCGGTCTGTCTGTCCTCCTCTGTCTGATCTCTTCTCT